ACATTATTTCCATTAGGACTCAATAAAGTAAAGGTTAAGACATCATCTTCATTAATGTCAAAATCATTTGTAGAAACATCACCATCAACAGGGTTACCAATTAATGTATTGTTAATGTCATTGATTGCAACAGGAGGATTATTATCATTGTATATCAAAATATGAACAGTTGCAGTATCACAGTAAACTGGATTGCCTTCATCACATAAAACATAAGTGAAATAATCTGGACCATAGAAATCATCATTAGGAACATAGGTAAAGATACCAGTGATAGGATCGAAGCTAGTTATTGTACCATGAGTTGGTTGACTTAAAGTATCTAAAACTAAGTCTAAGTTTTTAGATTTTTCTCTAATACTGATTACATCACCTACTTTAACTGTGTAAGATGGAACGTTTAAGATTCTACCATTAACAGTGATGTGTTTGTGTGCTACTAACTGACGAGCTGAACTTCTTGTAGGAGCAAAACCTAATCGATATACTGTGTTATCTAATCTTTGTTCTAACAATTTAAGTAAGTTATCACCAGTTACACCGTGTTTTCTAGCAGCTTCAGCAAAAGTTTTATAAAACTGTCTTTCTAACACACCATAAGTATATTTAGCTTTTTGTTTTTCTTTTAATTGAATTGCGTATTCAGATTTCGTGCCACGTTTTCTACCATTTCCATGTTGTCCTGGAGGATATTTTCTTTTTTCGTAAGCCTTATCATAACCATAGATAGCATCACCAAAGGTTCTTGCTTTTTTAGTTCTAGGTCCGGTATATCTTGCCATTTTCTTTCTTTTATTATATTAATTATCCGATTATATTATACTCTACGTTTTTTAGGTGGTCTGCAACCATTATGTGGAAGTGGAGTAATATCTCTAATTACAGTTACTTCAATTCCAATGTTGGAAACTGCTCTAATTGCGGATTCTCTGCCACCACCTGGTCCTTTAACAAACACTTCAACTTTTCTAAGACCAGCATCGTATGCTTTTTGTCCTGCATCACTTGCTGCTACTTGAGCAGCATAAGGTGTGCTTTTTTTAGAGCCT